ATAACTGGTGGGTAACGATGGAAATGGGGAAGAGGGGGAAAGGGTCGTAAAGAAGGGAACTTCGAGAGTCTATTTCACTGCATTTTCCCCCCAACGGCAGGAGGTGTCCTGCCCAACGAGGCACAGGTATATGGCGAACATGAAAAGAGAAAAAGCGGGGAGTCAACATTCGGAAAGTTCTCGCGGCTGGCAAAAAATTTCAATGGCTAGGACATCCCTCACCAACGACCAAAAACGACCACCTTATGTGATCTGCCCAACGATGCTGTACCCTGACCTCAGAACACACCCCATTTAACGTACAAAAGCATAAAAAACTTCAATCACCTGAGATGTTGCGCTCCACTAGATAGTAAGCGATAGGTGACAGGATGGAGAAACTCCGCTAACATTTATCGACACTAATAACACTCCTTCAACTGCCTAATTAACAGAATGACCACATGAAATTGCCATAAATATATCAAACGAGACAGCTATCATTCACGTATCAAACTAGCCTTTCACGACATCAACATTTATAACATTTCAACATTAATAAACATGTTAATTAATGAAGTTTCCCAGCCGCCTCCAATTTTAGTCTAAGAGATTCTGGCATGCTCGGTGGAGGTGGACGTGGGAGGTGAAGTGCTACCTTCACTGAGTCATAAATGAACCATTGTGCTGCTGTTAGTGTACCGATCATGATAATACGGGGGAATAGACCCTTCCACAAGCCTGCGAAACCAAGCTTCTTGATGATACCGCCAATTCCAGAGCCAGCATCCTGGTTAAGCTTCGATACTACAGTGTCAGCTGGGTGAGAAACGATGGCGCAGAATACTCCTGGAAAAAGTACCAGTTAGGGCTCAAAATGTAAAAACTAAAATAAGAACCAACGCACCAGCAATGTAACCGGCAATAAATGTGACCACAAGCTGTTCAGGTTTGGAACATTGTGAACGAGGCTTAGGTACCACATATTTGTACAGCATTTCTACAGTGCGCTCGAAGCAAGCGAACTTCATCATGGTGTATGGGATCTGACGCAGCCAAAGAGGAACAATACCCTGAAAATTCTCACATTCATTTGACAAAAGGCCAGTAAAAGCGATAAAAAAATTAAGCTTGCCTTGTAGAAGCCTGTTAGTCCTTCAGTTCTGTAGATCATGGGAGCACAGCCACGAAGGGTTGGGGGAGCACCCGGAGAAGTCTGTACTCGAACTTTTGTAGCTTCCATGGGAGCAAGCATGATGTCTGCGAAGAATTCAGCTGATGCTGATGCAGCCAAATATAGAGAAGTACGGTACAAATAAGCATTCTCCTAAAGCATGAGACACATTGTTCACTATGGTAGAGAAGAGATTGAGAAAAGCAAAAAGTAACAAAAGCACTCACCTCGCCGAGCAATTCCGAGTAGAGATTCTTGAAGACTTCGTAAAATCCGAACTTTCCTAGACCTTGGAGTGAATATCCGATGAAAGTTGGAGCCCATCCCTTGGCAAGAGCGCGACCTCCTTCCTCAGCGACGGTTGTGCGGAATCCAGTGACGATGTTCTTGTATTTTTCTGGATTTACCTTAAGCGAAAAAGTGAGATGGACGTCGAAAAAAAACAGCCATACACATTTTCATAAACGACACATACAGCTATCAAACTGGTTAAATAACGAGTGAGTCAGGCCATTTCTTCATAGAATCCATTCAGAATTCCTTTCCCCGTGCTGGTTCTGTTTAATGAGGCATTTTGGCGCAGAGAACTCAAAGCACTCGAAAAGCCGCGCGCTCAAGAAATTTGTAAGCGCCTTCCTTGTACAGGCAGTCCGATCCTCAGTCTAAAACTATCCCACTTTTGCGCTTCACAGTAAGTAACTAAGACGGTGCGCCCTCATAAATGGCAGTTCTGACACCTTTCCTAGTTGTACCGCCCACCAAAACTCAAAGACTATTTGCTGTCGCGAGTTCAGCTTTTACACCCTGTTTCTCTTTTCTTTGTTAAACGGTATCAGCACTGGATACACAAAGCAACGATTAGTGAGCCAGAGGCTGCGTATTGCTTTCTGGTATAGAAAGGAAAAGGTCCAGAAAACTCGTGCAGTGGGCTGCCAGATCGTTATTAGGGTGTTCACCATGATTTTCTTTTTCTTTACTCTTTTCTCTGCTAGAGAGCCATTTACCGACTTTAGGTTTGTAATTGAACTCCGTATCCACGATATGCCGACATATCGTGGATAGGGAGTTCAATTGCAAACCTGTAGTCGCTAAATTGTTACGTTCTGGCCCGCGGGGTTCATCTTTGAGCCAACGACAGACATTGTTCTTTTGCACAAAATTTCAGAAAAGCTGAACGCCTTCTTCTAGAGTCAGGTAAGTGTCCCGGCTACCAATCGTTCTTTGAACTTCCATTATTAAATGCTATCCAAATAGACAAAAAACCGAGAAAATGGTGTGGATGCGAGGCTCACTGCTCAAAAAAATCTATGTAAACTGCGATTGCGGAAATCGGACGGACTACTGCTCAATAAGCCGCACTTCACTACACCACCACCCCTTTCGCCCTCCGCGACTTTTTATCAATAAACCTTCATATAATTCACTATGTAATTTTATAATTATGTAGATGGGGCGATGAAGGCAAAAAATAGCATTTCCAATAATTTAGCACATGCCTATCAAGTTAGTTCTCTAGAGACCTATTTCAATAATGTCAATTCTCACTCGGAAACCCACAAGGGGGGGGGGGACATTTCGCACTTTTGCTACTTCCCAAAGACCTGTAAAGCCATCAAGGGGACCTATAAAATCTTATGAAGTCACGAAATAATGCTAGCCCAAGTTTGTAGAGACCACCTATCAACTCTTGTAAAGCAATGAAATACCATTTACCATGGCCTCGACGAACTTGTTCCAGCTTCTCAAGAGTTCACAGGTTTCACAAGGGTGAGACTTGTAAACCAGAAGTAGTGAAGCAGCGGAGGTGCCCCCCCCCACACCCGTCACCGAACTTCGCCAAGTATTGTTCTCATTCATACAAAATTGTAAAACACAATAGAAATTGATCACCTGGATACGACATTTCACAAGGTCAAGAGGAACAATAGCGGTGTGAGTAATTCCACAAGATAAAACTCCTCCAAACGCACAAAGGGAGTAATATTTCAACGTTCCGAATTCGACCTGATCAGCTGAAAAAATAAGAAATAAAATAGGTTCTTTAATTTAAACGTATTGTGGAACAAAGATACAAACCTACAACAGTCGAAACAGTCGTAGCAGCAATAGCCACGCCAATTTGGACAACAGCAGATGATCTGCCGTAGGACAACCAGTCCAGAATACCATCAACTAGTTGGGTGACCCCCCAAAAGTAGAGGATGACCCACATGGCTATGATAACGAGACATCCGACACGCGCTCCACGATATCCAGGAATCCGCGCGCGTACAAAATGAGGGATGAACTTCTCTTGTGTCTCCGAAGTCATTCTTAACATGTTTAGTGAAGAACCGTGATGAAAAGCGATCCCATTTGTGGAATGTAGCACGACGAGTGAGCTGCCACGTTTGTTCACGCGCTGGTTCTCTCGCGCACTCTCGCTTCTCTGCCTCCCACCGCGAGAATGACGTGACGGCCCTCGTACAAGCCCGACAGCTAGCGCTACGCTATGATATAGAGCACCAGCAAATCCGAAGGGATATTCGTTAGTACCGGACCGAAACAGATGGTTCCTAAACCAGTCACCAATGAATCGATGAATTCCTTCCTAGAAGTGGAGTGGCCTTGAATATACGTCCGGTACAGCATCATAGGGTGAATTCCGTAAGGATGTGAGGGGGGGGGGCATCACCGCGATGAGGGCTACATTCGGGCTTGAGAGAAACCTTTTTAAGCAGTGAGGAAGTTTCCCCACCCTTTCCCTTTCCACAATACCATTTTTTCTAGGAAACAATAAAATTTTTGGAAAATTAAGGGAAGTCTGAAGAGTGTGATAAGGCTGCGGCTAAGTTGTAAGAGGGGTCGTCCGTCGAAGGAGAAATTTGGGGTTCTATTGTCGCTGTCATTCCACCCATCCTTATGCTGTACCTGTCATGTCGGTTACTGTGAGGGTACAAAACAAACGTGCTAATTTTTTCTAATGGAGACCTGCGCAAAGCATTGAACTAAAGCCAGACCATCCAGCCTAGATTTCTGCGACAATTTGTATAGGCGCAACTACCTTTCCTCGCCTTTCGGAAGATATATTCGCAAAGGGCAACATCCTTGCGTCCCGCGCGCGTGAACAAATTAAAAAATACACCCCCCCCCCTCCCAAGAGTACTCTTCTGGTATGATCCCATCCTCCTATCCTACCAATGTTATCAAATTCTCCCAAACTTGCTACCTATTCTTCGGAACATTCCGAAGAAAGTCTCCACTTCTTCCGAAAAAAAGATATTCCCCACCCGTCTCTCTGGACAGACATAACGTACGACAGGCCCTCCATTTCAGGCACATTCAACTGTACTTTCAGGACCCGAACCACTCCGCACAGCTTTCGAACCACCTACGATGCACCAGAACACTCAAACCAAATCCCAAACGTCTCTGTAATTCTCTGACCCTCCCCCTCTAATGGAGTTCGCTAATGGAGTTCGCCTATTTTCGCAAATTAATCCTGGCCCAGGTCTAGACCTAATGCAATGAGTCAAATCATACAGTTCCCATGTAAAATTCTGCAAGTACTAATTCAGGACAAACCATACTATTAACAAAATCAACCGGTTAATTATATGTTTATTCAGAATAATCAATTACATAGATGGAACTGCTAAACATACCCTCTTCCTTTTCTACGTGCAAGCAGTTGCCGGTACGAACTGGAAGAGAGAAGGGATTAGCCTTGGCGGTCTCGGACAACTGGCTGACCAATCCCATTTTACCTTGAATCAACAAAGCTTCAAAAACAAAGGTTTAAAAACGAAATAATGGATATAGCAAGACTTGAAACGTAAAAATCCCAAAAACTGCCCCCCACGCAAGTACCAAATCGAGGATACAGTCTAACATTTGTTTAAGCGAGAGTTTGAGGAACAATCAGCGAACAGACTAGTTCCGATAATCAATACACGATCGAGCAACGCACTGAACAACTGCGCACTGAGAAAAAGCCACCATGACAGGGAGGCTCTCAAACTCTTCCGACGTTGTTCTTCATTCGTTGTGCCGAAGAGGTTGTTAAGTAGAACTTTATCAAAGTCAGCCAGACGTTTCGACTAGATCGTCGTCCTCAGAGGCCCGTTTACCACCGCATGGGCGGAACGACGCTACTCGCTGTTACTTGTACTTAGCAAATCTCAAGCTTTCCGAATGGCGTCGTTCTGCCCATGCGGTGGTGGACGGCCTAACTTAAGAATGAGTTCTAACAACCCCTCTGGCACAATAAATCAGGAACTGCAAAGTTCACAGTTACGCTGTTGTTATCTGAAGAGAGGATGGACACTATTGATCAACGTCCCTAGACGTAACAATTCCACAGTCATTTCACAAAGAAGGATCATCTAAATTTTATATAGGGTAATCAAGAACAAAAAATTTGTATTCCTAAGAGAAATTCAACAAATAAAGCGTAGGAATGGCAAGAGAACGCATAGAGTCGAGACTTGTGTGGATAAGTGGCTAGGATTCTGTGGTTGTGGCTATTTTGAGCGCGCATCATTCAGGCGAGGTCACTCGGCATCTAATCCGATAATTACGAGGGAAATTCCCACCATTATATATGGGGGTGACAGGTACCATTTGATGCGTTACGACTGCAAGCATTGATGTGTTCTGGCATCAGTCCAGGACACTCAGCGCCCGAGGCATTCTTGAATAATTCATGTCCAAATTTTTTTAATCTAAATTTTACCACCTACCAATCTTGACATCATTTTCTCACCCTCGCTTGAAACCCCCAAAGTTTACTTCTCACAGCTTGCACGGCGTCGACAAAATAGTTAAGACCTTTTAAATAAGTTCTGATGAAATTCTTAGCAAAAATTCAACTGTTACAGATAGATTAGTAGAGCAAAAGGCAATCTTCAGGTGGGGGCGTTGGCTCAAAGATATAACACAGTTCCCGCTCCGCACGTGTCCTTAGACGGTAACTGAAAGGTTGACTATTTCCCTAAGTCTAAGGGAAAACTATCTTTGGTTTTCCCTGTGGGCTAAAATTGTGTGAACGTGCAGATGTCTTTGATGTCTTAGGACTTTCCAAGCTTCCACGGGGCCGATAATGACGAAACGTAAGCCGAATAAAAGATGATAAGAGTTTTAGCGACAAAGCACACAGCACATAGGCATCATAAACTCTACTGAGCTTGCCACTGTACTCTTTTAATTCCCTTCACAGCCTCTCAGCAGAAATTCGACAATCGTCATTCTGGGACTACAACTATGACTGGTGCATGTGTCCTTGCATCGAACTAATCACTTTTTGTTCACCGGGAAGCCTCCTCGCATAGGTGACAACCCTCCTCATAATGAAGTTGACACCATGGTTGAGATAGGTAAAATGCCTTGCCAGCAAAATAACCAAAATTACCAGAGTTTTTTCAGAAGCACTGACACTCCCGGTCAAACTTCGAATCATCAATTTCTTCGACAGTTCTCTCAGAACTCAACGAAAGCCAAAAGAAAATCATCAGGATTCCAATACTGCCTCCAATGAAATGGCTAACTAAACGATGCGAGTGAACAAAAGGTCAGGGTGAAAACCCACGATCGCTTGTTATTGCCCACATTCTTTTGCCTTCGTTTTCAATCGATTAGCGTATGTTACCTCGAGTTCGCCGCCATTTGTTCCTGTTTGTTCAACTGGCATCACACAAGCAGAGAGCCTGAGAGATGCTCGAGAGATGGCAATTCAAGAAAGAAAGAGGTGCATATCCCCATAAAATACTGGCTAGGCGATTTGGATTTTCGATAGAAATCCTCGTATGAACAATCGAGACGAGCGCCGTCAATTTCCAATGGCCTTCTCCCATTCATACCATACTGCGAGCTATGAAGTCACCAGTGCTGCGCCTCCGTATTCCAATACGTATGAGGTGAACGCTCCTCTAACAAGGCAGGTCTTTCAGGTCGTGGCGCGCTTTTTGGAAATGGTTTGTTGCTTGTTGTAGGGGTCCATACAAGGATCACAAAAATGGGTTTCATTTTTGCTATGCGTTTCTGGGGAGGTCAAAACTGAGTGAAAAGAATTTGACAAGAATGGGCGATTTTAACTGACTTGGTGGGCTCCGTTGTGAGGGTACTTCGAAAATAGTTTGAATTCGAAAATAGTTTTAAATAAAGTCAAAATGTAAGTATCATGTAGTAACACACTTGGCATGCACCGACGCAACAGTGATGTTTTTGTCAGCGGTCCCCTCATGCTCACTGTCGGCGGATCGGATGGCGCAGCGGATAACTCGATGGATTCTGGATGGGACGACGATACGGGACTTTGTGGATCGGATCCTCCTTGTGGCAATTTTTTTGCATTTCTCAGCTTTCTATTCATTCGCGTTCCTGTGTGTCTAGCAGTGGAAATAAGCCAAGTATACGCCATTTGAAGGCATATTCTTCATTCTGATACCTTACAAACCAGCTCGATTGTGTGGAGAAGCCTAATTGCCACAAGGAGGATCCGATCCACAAAGTCCCGTATCGTCGTCCCATCCAGAATCCATCGAGTTATCCGCTGCGCCATCCGATCCGCCGACAGTGAGCATGAGGGGACCGCTGACAAAAACATCACTGTTGCGTCGGTGCATGCCAAGTGTGTTACTACATGATACTTACATTTTGACTTTATTTGAAACTATTTTCGAAGCCTAATTAACGAGCACCTCATAAACTATGCATGCTCGAAGTTACAATCAGAACGGAGCCCATTAAGATAGTTAAAATCGCCCATTCTTGTCAAATTCTTTTCACTCAGTTTTTGACCTCCCCAGAAACATAGCAAAAATGAAACCCATTTTTGTGATCCTTGTATGGACCCCTACAACAAGCAACAAACCATTTCCAAAAAGCGCGCCACAACAGACCTCCCTTGTAAGTTCCATTCGCTACTGGTTGACATATTTAGCGGATTATTCCCCGTCTGTGGTGGAAAGAGGTGAGCGCTATCGGAAAAGCTGCGGTGGATAAGGCTTTTGGCGGGTAGTACTTATCTCTAAAGCTCGAAACCCTTTTAGGTCCTTGAAAAAGACGATTGCGTTTAGTCCTTTAGAATAAATAAATACTGAATAGACGAAAAACTAGCTAGACTTTTCAATGACTTACGGCATTCGTGGATATGGATAACATATTAGGGATAATTTCATTTTGAGGCAACTGTGGTCGGCTGATAACCTTGTGGGTGGCCACTCGAAGGAAACTTTGTGAAAACTGGGTCAGCACCGTCCAAGCAGAAGCCAAACACAGAGCAAGTTTGAGAGTTGCGATATCCCACGAGCAAACATCCTCTGCCATGTCCAAATGCCACGCCTACTCCGTCCCACGGATAAGGACTTACTTTATTAAACTCCTACTATTTCGATGTAATTAATAGCTGAGCAACAGCAACGATAAACCTTAAACAAGGATCCCTGTTATGGGTAGTTTCACTTCTTCGAACGGAAAACGAACCCAAGAAGGCTAAGAGCCACTTTGAACACTGCTCATATCTGGACGTTTTGCCAAATGGAAAAGCGAGTCCAAGCCTGTACCCGGCGACATGAGGATACGAGGTACGCTAGCCCGCGACACTTCTACAATATAAATTAGGAAGAGGTATTGATAACCTTAAGAGGAGGCCACTTGAAGAATCCTTGTGGAAAAGGTTAACATCATCCAAGCAAAATCGCCGAACTTGGAAATGGTTCGCCCAGCTCCGAGGGTGATTCTAGTAGTCCTGCACAAAGAGTCCCTTTGAAAGCCCCTCTTACATGGTCATCACGCCCAGGAAGCTGTTAACAAGTCCAGCGCCTCACCGAAAACTTTACTTTTCATAAAGAGTAAGTGATTCTCATTTCTATCGGTTCTACAACAAGCCGGAGCAGATTGTGCATCATGATATCAGATCACGCTCACTTTGAGTCAACGAATTCTCGCAAAAATACAACCTCAATGTTTCAAAAGCAGCTGGACTGGAGAATAACACTACCGCTTGACAACGTGGACAAGCTCCCTTCGTGTCACTGGCAGATGTTCATCGTCAGAATCAACCGCAGTATCATACCGCTGCAGATCTTAGACTACATTCAGACTTCGCGATCAATCGCTCGAATATTCGGGTCGCGTAATCGCAACTATTGGATCGAGACGTCTGAATGCGCTCTTCGCTATATTTCCCTCTTCCACAGACGAATGACTATAGGCGGAGACATTCATGAATGCTGAAGCCATTTTTAGACATGCGGAAAGCCAACGTCAGCCACACAGCTCAAAGTTAGCGCCCACGATCGCCCTTTGCAGGTTTTAGGGCTCACCAAGTCATGTGAGAAGAGAGAGCAGAGAGCAAAGAAACCGTCGAAAATGCCCCAAATCAGACCCCATGTCACGGGGAATGGACGAGTTTTCGAGTCCTCCAACTGCAGTTACAATCTCGTTTCTCCAAGGCATACTTGATAAGAAATCCTTTGTTTCACTTATCACTCATTTCACCTTTCACCGCTAATGAACCTTAATAAGAAAAAATGATCGCGGTGGAACTAGCTTGTGAAGACAGAGTCATCTCATCGCTGCCGAGCTGTCCTGCTTTCAACAAGCGCTCTGAAGCCGCAAAAATGCCCGAAATCATCTGTGACTGCAGACTCGCCATTTCACACTTTGAAGGCAGTTGGCACGATAAATCCCTCAAGGCGACTAGGATCAATACTCCTGGCAGGATAGAATTCCGCGACCCTGGGCAGGCGCTGCATAGCGGTTTCCCCGAGGAAGGTGCCCTTATAAGGGCCCTATCAAGCCACAACTTTACGTCCCAAACGCCCGCCCACAAATGGACGACCGTTCCTGACGCTCGTATTCATTCATTTGCTAAGCAAATTATGAAGCGAAGGGATTGGTATGAAGCGGCCGTGATGCTGCATGCATACATGGGTACACATATGCAGCCGTATCTTCGGTAGCGGTGATTGGTAAGATGCCTACGGGAAACTCGTCCGAAATCGATTTACAAGTCACTGAGAACGGAGGCTTTTTCTTCGCAGGATTTTGACCGTTTCACTCCGTTCTTTCGCCATTTCCCCACTATACAGCGCCCTACTAGCATTTTAGGCTAAGTAGGAAACCATCGTGCCAATTGCCTTTGAAGGGCTTCCGTGCCTTGGTTGATTGCGAACGTTGTCCTCAAAAATGGTACGCGCTAAGTCGGTAACTGGAAACTCACTTTTATCAGTTTTATGCAACGTGTAGCCCAAAATCCCTTGCGATGCTGCTTGCTTACTTACCAGCCAAGAAACGAATGTAAGCGACGAGAGAGCAACCCTCTCGAGTCTAGGGAGGAGAATCGCTTCGGGCTGGTGAACCTTTCACAAAGGAGCTCCTTCTAGAACTTAGCTG